AATTCCAGGGGTTATATTTTCCTTCGGTTAGACGCTACGCAAATTTAACCTTCCAAGCACCACACCGTACTATCCCATAACTATACCTACTCATGTATTTGTAGGTACAGCATAGTACTCGTACACATGTACTCGAGTACCGGTACTGCACACCATCGCCCAACCCTAGTTTAAGTTAAGCTAGTCAGATCCAGCCCAGTGAGATCTCTAGCAAGCATGAACTCGTGACATAGATCTAGAAAATAAAACTCCCCCCGATAGCCAACAAAAGAGAGAGGGGAGGGGGGGGGGGTTACTTGTACAATGCAGCGATAAAATTTAGATGAATGAAACACGCCTTCTAGCCTATCAGTCGCACTTTTTTCAGATTCGCTAAATTTAGCGAGCGATGTCTATGTTGTGTTGTGGGTGCTTGGTGTAACATCCGGACAAAGTTTCAGCTCTCTCAAAACACCGGGTCAGCAGCAGTCCTAGTAAACTCACCCACTACCAGTATATCATACGCCCTTATCATAGGCGAGAGAGAAAAGAAAGAGGGGCAACAGAATCGATAGGCTTTTCCAAAAAGGAAAAAATGATAGGAGAGCCGAAATGGGGAATCATAGCATGGCCCTAGGGCGCTTGTCCTTCGTTGGTAAGATTGATGCGCGACAAGACTTCCACAAAGCCAGCCAATCAACCGGTATTGATAGATGCACCTGTTGCCCTTTCTTACTTTCCCATTCTCCTCCTATAGCAAACTGGTAGGAGTACGATTCAGGCCATCCAAAACTTGTACAGTGCCAAAGATCCAACCTTCTAAATTCTATAGGCTGCGCCCAACAAGTTAATCTAGGGAGAAAAGAAAAACCCCGTTCATGAAAAAAAAGGTGGGGGAGAGTGATAACTGGGTTTATTTTTAGCGAGCGGAATTCCCGAGAACTTCCCTTTAGCATCTAAAAAGTTGGATATTTGGGGTAACTTTTGGATGGCACGAGTCATATGTTTCTTGGTGAGAGGGAGGGAAGAGGGGAAGGTTGTTCCCCCGCTGTCATGAAATATCACTCGCTTTGTAGGATCTTGGTGCCTCCCGTTGAGACAAGGGAGTAACATGTGATGTGTTCGGATATCTCGCCGAAAGCACGTATTGTATTGAGACACGTTAGTTACCCGATGATGGTGTGGAGATTTACAAGCACCTAGGGGCGGTATAGGGGGTAGTGAAGGCGGAAAGCGGGGTGACAGCCCTGGGGGAGTTGTACTTTGTGGAAGTCAATCTCTCTCTCCCCTAAAAGTGCTCACCATAACAGGCTCCGGGAAGTCGTACTCAGTGTCCCAAACGGATAAAGGAGGAAACCCCGAATAGTGCTCCACTTGGCCATTCATTTGTCAATCGAGGCTCTGTCAAGCTGCTGCTAGACTTTCGGAGGGAGGAGAATGGACATGGTTCCGATGTTTCAGGGAAGCAGATCGGTATAGAGTCAGTACTGCACCGTAAGCTCAGGTACAGTAATTACATCAGGGACTAAATATCGTACGGCTCAGGCGCAAGCACTACCGTATGTCGAACATCGCATCCCCTCGGAAAGACAAATATGATACCAACGTAACCTTAAATGATAGAGGTGAAACTTCAAATCCATACCCCCGTCTGCTGTAGTCTCATAGGTTCATCTCTGTAGCTGCGTCTCCCGCCGGCCCGTTGCCCCCGGTCATTCACTCCCTTGTCTCGCAGGGGCGCGATGGCTGAGAAACCTCATATCTAGGTGGATAGGACCGCACGATCGCACAGGTTCACTTTAGAAAGACAGGGTGACCGAATGAAAAGTGTGCCAGTAATTAAATAAATGGGCGAGCCCACTGTGCAGTACGGTGGCACCAGCTATATTATATCCAAACCACCATACTGAGTATGACAGTGAGAGTATAGGCGTAGTAAGTAACTTGATTATTTTGGAAGGGAAGTTCCGTTCTAGAAACCCCGAGAATACTTCCCTGGTGCTTTCGCCCCTCATTTCCTCCCCTAGTTCTATCTTACGCATACCCGAGTTCCTGCCCTAGCGGACTCGAGTCACATGAGGGTAAATTTGTACCGAATTATTATGCGATTTTTTGTCTCTTGGTATGATACAAGCTGACGGGTAAATGGGTAGGTGGCGAGATAAACGCGGTTCGAACCGTGGTGTCAATTTATAAGGTAGTTTGGATATAAAAATGATTGCTCCACGCCCGATAGCAAGTAAAAGCAGCCACAGTAAATTATCAACAACATCGTGCCTGTAAACCCAGTACTAGCGGTGTCGAAAGCCAAAAGTGTACCGTTTTAATACGTAGTCTGCGTTGTGCCCCATGCAAGCTTGGCATGTGCGAATGGGCTTACCTGCAATGCCAACTGGTATATCATATTATACTTTGCATTATCTATACGATACCGAAAAGTCTTTACAGGCAGCTGCTGTCATACTGCATGGAGGTAAGTAACTAGTAAAAGGTCGGAAGCGAGTAATACTTGGACAAATTTTCGCACACGTAACCAGTAACCCTGAAAAACAAAAAGTGTGTGAGAGGCCTAAACAGCAAAAATCAAATGACAATGCCTCGCACCTCTGAGAAAACCAAAATAGTCTTCCAACTGCATGAGCCAGTTTCCAAATGCCATAGATAAGACATTGCTCCGTGGTAAAGATGGCATATCTCCATTTCTTCACGCTGGAGCGAGGTGCCTCGGCCGGAGGTCAAGAATCAGCTTAGATAACGGGGGCCTGTCCGCCTGCATGTTGGTGGAACCTCTGTCCATACTTTTGATAGTAGGAACGGGTCAGTGTTATGCCTGAGAGAGGGCGAGGAAGGATGGGGAAAGAGCCAGAGGGAGCCATTGAGTTGCTTGGACTAGCTACACCAACCGTTTTCGATGCTACGAGAGGCCATTCCCCAGAATGAGTATATGTTCATAATATCAAAACACATACAAGTAGAAATAGAGCTAGAAATAAAATTAGCGTGTTTTAGAACTTTACAATGTCAGAGGACATATTCGTGGCACTTTTTTGAATGAAGCGGGACTCTTTCAAAGCAGTTGTTTCACCACCGTACGCGTGACAATCCTATCTTTGAGAGTAATCATAGAAATTTCTATGCGTCTCCTGCCTTTTAGTTAGCTACGGCCCTGTACTTCAGGTGCCCTGTGACTCTCAACTTTCTTTGGTGCAAATCAACTCCGAATTTAGGGGAGGGGGACGACAAGATTGCATAGTAGTCGAAGTATTTCGGCATTGGCCCGGCTGCTCCCACAATTTGTAGACTTAGAGGCTCTCAATCACGACATTTTTTATACAAGTGTTCCGTGATACCATTGGCCCGTCTCCACCAGCCCAGTACTTATACCCTAATGCACGTTCTAGTACCAACGGGTTCCAATTCTGCACCCCCCCCCCCCAGCCTAAATACTACTACTCCATCGCGGCTCCATTTGGTATCCCAAACTAAACAGCAAGTGCTGCACAGTAATGCAAATGAAAACCACTAAAAAGCTCCACCTACCTGTCCAAGGACTAGGGGGAAAGATTTAATCACAACAGCTTATATCCATCCGCCTAAACTACTATATCTGACTTGATAACTTGGCTCCCAAGCCCCTTGTTCCGCTCATCAATCAATCAACCAAATCAACACCCAAGCAATAGGAATTGCGCGCATCAAAAGCCTCAAAAGCCTCGAATTAGGCAGAACTAAAAATAAAATAAAAACCAGAGCCCGATCCCTCACCCACTATGGAGTGGCACAGGTAATATCCTCAAAAACCCGGAATTAAACAAAACGCATGAGCCACTCACCCACGCCTCCGCTCTTAGAACGGGAAGGGGAGGAAAGAGCTATCAAGGGATATCCAAAAAAGTTCAAGTGAAGGAGGGTAAGAAGTAGCTAAAAAGGCGCAGACCGTACCGGTACCTGCATTTCGCGGGGGAGATGCGGAGGAAAGGAGGGAAGAAAAAGGAAGATGCTACGTAGGTTGGGTAACCGACGAATGGTGAATGAAGCGAAATAGGTGGACAACTCCATGTGCAGGCTACACTAAGGTGGGGTGTGGGAAGTTAAGTCGAGTTAAATCGAGTTAATCCCATTCGGTGTTTAATTGACTGCCTAAATCAGGATGAGGATATATGTGAGATGATGCGATGTGGTGAGATGAGATGGGAATGTGCCTATGGCAGGGGAACTTCCGATTTGTTCATTTATTTTTCCGCATGTTCCTAAAAAGGCTGATATGATCCGTGATTCCAACAAACGGAAGAGAGGGAGTAATGCGGAGACGATTTGGGGATACTTTCAAGCAACGGGATGGTGTGCGGAGCGGGATGGTGGTGGGTAGGGGAGGGGGCGAGTACTGCAGGGGAATCTTCTTCTGGTCAAAGGATCCAAGAAGGGGAACAACACGGAAAACCAAAGGAAGGAAGGAAGTGCCAAGATATCATACAGCTATCATAGCTTAACCCGCTACTGTGGTTTACTATAACCTGCGATAGTAAAAAGCTTTCTCCGGGTTTATTAATACCAATTCGGGGATCAGAGAGTATAGGAGCTTCTCTCTTGTTTTTTGACCGATTTCCCCTTTTCTCCCCCAGATGCCCCTCATTTTTTGTTTAGAGGACTACAGTAAAGTCAGTCTCTTATTTTTATTTTTATTTTGATGCTGGCTACATGAGCAGAAGCGGAAGGGCAATGCTGGTGGAGAATACCGTGTCACGTTGGCTGCAAGTCTCCGGAAGCTGTGGTCAAGGGGGAACAGCGAAGCACACATATGCCGGGTGTCCCGATGAACTACCGTGGATCGAAATGACGCCAGGCTTTCTACCATGGACACTGTGGCACAATTGAGAGAGAATCTCGCATAGGAGGAAAGGGGAAAAAAAAACAATTAATTGAGATAGAGTTGATCCCGTGAGAGAGGGGGGGGGGGATTGATTCATCATATCTGTGTACGTATGTATTGGGCTGCCGCTGTGCGGGTGGGTCTCCGTGTGCGGGTGAAGATAATTGCCAGAGGCGGTTTTTGTATTAAGCTCTCTAAACAACTCTCCCCCCTGCTGCTATAGAGGCCGTGTGTACGGCTCACCCGTATTTACATTTTTTCCAACTATCCACCGTTCCCAATGTTTTCTCTGAGCCTGAGTAACCGTCAAGCCGTAGTCTTCCAGGTCCTCATCGGGCTCGCATTCCTCCCTTTCTCCAAGACCCCCCACGCCAGCGTTAGCACCACCATCGAGTGAACTTGTGTCACTTGATATCCCAGCATCCTCCGAAGACGTGAACACATTTCCGTATATCACGTCGTCCCCCGCCTGTGATGGATGTACGTGGCTGCTGCTACTGCTAATGCTTTCGGCGTCCATTTCCAGGCTGTCGTCCTCATCTTCTTCACTACTTGTGTCGCTGTATGTCTCGACGTAGGCCACCTTCCGCACGTATTCACTCTCATAGCCAATATCCTGAAAGCTCACCCAGTCGAGCTTCTTCATATGTGTGTTTAGTGCGATCGCCACATCCCTCCACCGGTCCCCATCCGCCAAATAAACCTCTGATAATCGTATCCCCTTCAAAGTTCCCTGGTGTCTTTTGGCAATGCCAATAACCTCCTCGGCCTTCAGCATCCACGAACCTATCCCGAGAATCCGTAACTTGCTCCAAACAGTATTGTGAAAGACGTCTTCCAGCGGAAGCCGTACAGGCAGTCCAGGTGTGAATCTCAGATATAGTGTCGTCAAGTTCACAGTACACATGCAAAATTGCCTGAAGAATTCAGAGATTGGGGATATATGACCCCTCAGCTGGGTCGTGGCAGTGTCCAAGTAGCTGCGGTCGGGCCTCTCGTCAAAGGTCACATCCAGGTGGGATAGTTGCTTAAAGCTCGCTAGCGCCGATTGTTGCATCCCAGAGCCTATCGCCAACAAACTCTGAGGGCTCAACGTCGGACTCGAAAATGAATTAACCGGTGGTTTCCCGTACAGTATTGCAAGCAATAATGTCTCCACCGCATGGCTGCACGCGGGGATCCAGCGACAGTCGATGAATTCCCAATTGTCAATGCTAGAAGCCAAATTTCGTAAAACGATGTCCTTGTGCACCATCACAGACAGGAGTTGGATTTGTTGTAGGGATGTAAAAGATTTCATTGCCTTCCTTAGAACGAACTGATCATACGATCCACGCATGACATCCTGCTGTTCTTTGTACACGGTGGGATAGTAAAAGGGTTCTCGGTCCTCGAACATTATCTGGCGGAGTTTATTGGGCAGGCGAATGGCACGATCAGCTCTAAAGGTCTCAAAATCTTGGGTTCCTGGATCGCTGTGTCAATTTTTAGAAACCCCGGTAATCTGAGCAGAGCTTTCCACCTTACCTTCCACGTAGAGATACGGCATCAGGTACACAAATTTCTTAACATGCTTTGCAAGCTTGGGCTGGTCCGACAGACGTTCCAATCTGCCGAAGCTCTTCAAATTGAACCTTAATCCTATACTCCTAAAAAGATACGGCGCAGCCAGCTCGCTGAATCTCTTAGACACCAATCGCAAACGGGCAAAATATTGTTTGGAATCTATATGCTCAGGCTTGTAGGGTCGTGGGCGAGCCCACGGGTTTGCTCGGGGAAGATCATGGAGGCCAGGCTCGAATTGATCGAGAATCTCGTTGAAGACTTCAGTCGGAAGGGTTTCCATCTTGTGGGGTTCATGCATTGGACACGGGGCAGAAAGAGAACGTGGGGCAGGGCAGTATGAAAAAACAGGATGATCTTCAGAAGGGATCCCTCCAGGGCAGGAGCCAAGAACAGGTGACAATTCGACAAAACGAGCAGAAAACGAAAGAGGGGGAAGCAAAGATGAAGAGGTCAGAGGCCTGCCATTTAATAAGTATCTACCGTGGACATTAGGCGCCGCCTTGTTGGCGCATGGGGATAAATTCCGCTTGAGTTAAGCAGCTAGGGAGAGGTTTACGAGCGTTCACTGGGAGAGGACTGGGAAAGCAGAAGTAGGGGCAACAACGCAGCTGTTAAATTTTAGAAGCCAGTGAAGGGAACCCTTGCCGTGGAAGAGCAGAGGACAAGAGTGAACAATCAGTCCGAGACGAAATCAGGAAATCAGGGAGAGACAAAGAAGGAAGGGAGAAGGGTTATGGAGTTAGATGGAGGGGGTGTGGATGGGTGGAGGGGGGTGAATAGGAGGGTGGGGTTAGGGTTTAATTTTTTCCCAGTGAAGTTGTGATACTATTCTGAATTTGGAGGAGGGTGAGGAGAGGGAAGACCGGTGGGCAAGTGGGATGAGAAAGGTAGAGAGTAGGGAGTGGGAGCAGGGAGAAAAGGGAATGGAAGGGGGCGGAGCTTGGTTAGAGGGAGGGGGGGAGGGAAGGATGATGGAGAAGATCCAAAGATAGAGTCGACGGAGCAAAATGGGATAGAGGGCAATCACTGGCCCTTTTCTTCTCAGCAGAATGATGTACCACACCAGCCCGGCACATGACTTTCAAAGCTCCAGACTATGCACCCGCGCCAACGGGTATGCACATCACCCTGCAACCTTTAGCCGCTCGCCAACCAACCTTTGCGCCAGCACGACAACCCTCAGCCAATCCTGTCCCAAGCATACTAGCCTCCCCACACGTCTGCACACACCTTCCTCCTCCATCTCCGACTCCCCACCCTGCACCCTCCACTCCACAGTTCCCCCCTCCTTCAAAGCGGCCACCTGCCAGGTCCCCAGGATAGCCATCCTTACACCAGACACACGCTCTCACACACTCTCACACACCACCGCTGTCCGCTCCTGCTATCCCTTAGCGGCTGCGAGGGATAGATCTGGAGGTAGGATCTGTAAAAAAAGATATGATAGACCTAGAACATGGAAATGGGCCATAGATAAAAATGACAATTGAAGGACATCCCCGTAGACCACCACCACCCCGGCCTCTATTCCAGACTCTCCTTCCCCTCACCTGTGGAATCGTACTCACACGCTGTCAGGGACAGGAGAGACATCCGGCTGCCAACCTTTGTTAATGTATCGTGACCGGATCGTAGGTGCCCTCCCCCAATGCTACATATAGCGCGACAGTCGAGACCCCCCTCCTCGTAATGCGTACATGCCGGTGCACACAAATTATTATGGACTAGATCATGGCACGGAGGCCGGCTTAAACTTATATTTCTGCGGTCCGGGAATAAGGGGGGGCGGCAAAGAGCCTTGAACTAAAGACGAGAGGCTTGTCTAGTGAAGCTACGAGGAAAATAAACACGCGTGAAATGGGGGAAAAAACAAAACATAAAATAAAATAAAATAAAGACTAAAAGTCGAAAGAAGGGAAGGGTAGCTAGGAGTGGCCCGCCGGAAATATGTGGCAGACTTTTGGATAGACAATGGGAAGAGGGGAAATTAATTTTTTATCGCATCAGTAGAAGTAGCGGGGAAATGAAGAATGCATGTGTGGAATGACCTCGCATCTCAGCTCGAGTCTTCAATTCTCGGCAAACATACACGGCCATTTATAAGGTATTCGGACATCCAGGCCTTATTAGTATGTGTCCTTGCGCCAAGTGTCCGAATACTTTATAAGTGGTCAAGCCGGGACATAGGGTGGGAGCGACTCGTCCCCGTCGTCAAACTCGACACCATTGGACACCTCTCCGCTAACAGTTTCCGAAGCGGAATGGAAAAAGAAATGAAAAACTGACAACATCTCTCCGCAGGCTACACAAAGGAGAATAATACAATATGTCAGCCATCCATATTTTTCTCCGCGTTTGACCAATAGGACCTAACTCGTGTGTACGAAGCAGAATGATCTACTCGGTCAACACCCGATGCATTCAGATTGACGACATTCAAGAGCATGAATTTCATGGATGACCGACATCCGCTCCATGAAACTCTTGAAACAGTTGACCCAATCACCTTATTCCTTCAAGATTTTCACCTCGGGGCGCATTACCGTGCTATCTAGATATTAAGTTGAGTATCAAGATATTGCTCACCGCATCGATCAGTTCACGAATTCAAATTCGCCAACAATCTGAACCACCTATAATGCTGCCCATGGATCGCATGTGTTATCGGGATCGGAAGCGGGTTGACGTGGTTCTTGTATCTCCTTATTTGCTTTTCGACACTGACTAGGCATATGGCTACCGCCGAAGTCCGGCGCAGTTCTCCAATGCATCTCAGCGGAGGATGCATCGGGGGGCAATGGCTCCGATTCCTAACCAGCCTTTCGCTTTATAGGATTGGGCATCAACAACGGGGTGCATTGAAATCTGCTGTAGGGTATACGAGTCTGATTCTGCCTGGGGAAGGCTTCACTTCAATTCGGCACCAATTGGCCATAAGGTACTGCGCCAATATGTGACAACACTTCAATTCCGAGATGAGTGGACATGCCTGCCCAGAGCACCTTCTGGAACGGTAGAATCCGGCTAATTATACAGAAAGCTTGAACCTGGGTCATATCACCCTCTTCCTGGGGTGTATGTTTTGAGGCCATGCGACCGAGGCTCCAGCAAAAATGCTGATGCCAATCAGAGGCAATCGACTGGATCACATGACTCCCGCATCTTCCAAAGGGCTAAGACTGTCGAAGTGATAGTCTAATGAGGATCTACATATGACCGGCGACTGCGGTCGCGAAAGACGGGAGACAACGTCGTTCCTTTGCGTTCTTTCTAACAATGTCTCAGGACGGGAGGCAAATCACTCTGATTTGCCTACGAAACAAATATCAGACCCTACCGAGGACAATCCGCCATCGATCCCACTATGGTTGGTAAATGATATGCTGGTAGGGTACTATCCTTATGCCTCGGTCGCTGGCTTCCCGTCACAACACTTGTTTGCTCTTCGCTGCCGGAGATAAGGATAGATATTTTAGGCGGGTAGGTAGAAGACATAAACTTTTGTCAGCAGGGATGGGAATGCTCATGATCAGCACAAAGCGAAGGTCGGTCATCAGATGCTGAACTTGAAGACTCCATCCACTCGCCATATCTTACAAACCCCGGTATATATCCCTGAGACCCTACGGTGCTCAGTTTCGGAAATGGTCCTCTATTTCACCGTACCCCCCACTCTCACCCCTTAACCACTCGCTCGTGAACCCCACAGCATACATATCTGCCCATTAAGCATACAATTGTACCACACATACAGACGTACGTACATACATACATACATACATACACCCACACCTTCTCCAAAAATTCCGAAATCCTGCGCGGATCGCCGGTGCAACGCCTGGGGTCCGCCTTCTCGTTTCAAATTGACACCCCAACCATGAGACCGGCGCGTCGTCCAAAACCTCATGCTTTAAACTTTCCCCTCCGAGTGACGTTTCATGATGATCCGTAATTCGTCAATGGGTCCCTGCGTAACTAGTCATTCCAGTGAAAAAAAAAGAGCCTCCACTAATTCTGTTTTGTTATCGTACCTAGACTCAACAGTTTGGACAGACGATGTGAGGGGTGGGGGCGGGCGAACATATCATGTCATAAATAAATTATAACCCCATCCCGTAGGCAAAAAAAAAAAAAAAGATTCAATAGGAATCCCCCCATCCGCGAGGACGGGGACCTGCGTCCCGAGGACCCGCGCGTGACGCAATCACTTCAACTGTGCTGGAAGCGGGCTTCCGCCCGAGCTGCGATGTAAGTTCTACACTGTAAGGGCGACGTCGCATTCCGAACCCGACCCCCCCCAGTAGGGTTGGAACTTGGTGGGCATTTTTTATCTTTGATAAAATGGGTCCTTGTGTTTCCTTGGCACTACGGAGGATTTGTTTGTGTGTGTGAGGGATGGTGGGGGGGGTGGATAGTGGAAGTGACGTTACAATATGTTTCTGCAGTTGAACTAGATAGGTATTGGATTCAGGATGCTGGAGGGGCTCATGCGAGGGATAGGTGGGTGGGTGCATCGGTCGTCACTCGGTGGTTGAGTTTTGGGTCGCGGGTTATGGAAGATTGAGAGAGGTGGGATTACAGCTACCGACAGCACCATTTCTTGGGTATATGGTGGGCATGGTTTTATCTGCGATAGGGTTCAGATAGATAGATTTTTCACTATTTGGGGACCTGATACATGGTCACCATTTTGTATACCACCGTAACCGGACTCCCAAGATCGACTCCAAAACCGAGCGCCATTACCCACCAGAATACACCCTCGCAGCTTTTACAACCCAAGCAGCCTAAGGACACGCATCCTGCACCAACGGCCACCCGCGAGAGTGGGTACCCGAAATCATACCACCCCAGTCCATGCCCAAGTCAGGGATATACTGCGGCCTTCCACCAACGTCGCTCCCAAGACAGCGGAGACACAGACCGGCGTTGTGTGCGAGATAAGGACGCGATGAGCTCTAGATAGCTATGGAACCCAAACAATTGAGTAAGACCATATTCTCCGAGCATCCCGAGCGGTGATCCTTTCGTGCATCTATAGTACAGTCAGATCGGCGAAACACATTTATCGACCTAAGGTTTTTTGATCAAAGAAACACAACCGAATACACAATTCCCGGAGAGTTTGAGGTGATACGCTTTACCATGGACAGGGAGTTTTGACCTTATATGAGAGTAAGAGGCAATAGTTGTCCCAAAATGGTTTGATAGGTCGGGGGTCTGGTAGTCCTCAAGTTAGCTTTGAGATACGGGACCATAGCCGTTGGGCGGGTACTCTAGATGTCGACGACTGGGATGACCCCATCGCCAAAACGACCTGTAATCAGTTCCGCGGAGGTTCAACGCCCCACCTGCCCACAGTTGCTGAGAAGTAGGAGCTTTCCTCTAAGTTCATTTACCCTCCTGATATCCAGAGGGTCAAAAGAGGTGGAGGCGTCGCACTAATCGACCTCGGAAATTATGCGGGGGTGTGATCCACGATTGCGGAGGGCTCATGGAATATATAGCTAGGTGCAGACTTCCCACTCTTGAGTTGCTCGAAAGGAGTACTGCGAGGTAAGCTTGTAGACTGGATAATTACACTTAAACAATCTACAAGAATTACCTGGAAGTTAAACTGGGTGTGGAGAATAAGAACTGAATCAAGAAAGGTACCCATATTGATCTTAGGAGTATGATACAGTAACAGCTACTTTCACTAGCCGGGCTCAGGGGATTAACCAAGGTTTGAGACATCATCACCAAACCCCGGCCTCCTAAGAACAGATCGTTCCCATTCCCTCCCGAGCTTATCAACACTCTAGGAAACGCACCAAAGGGCCGCCGGCCAGACCTTGCAGCAAAATTGGCCTGGGAAGTTACTAGCTCACCACTACTATTTATACCCAGCCTTGCGGATCCACCCCTGCCACCGCATGATGGATAACAAGTAATGATTCCAATCGAAGCAATCCTGGCGAACCACTTTTGGCCACCCAGCGTACTCGGTTCTCCTAAACCCTGAGCCTTGCTTCCGAATCGGAAACACGGGGGTAAAAACGACATCCGAAGAAAGGATTAACGGACTAGTGGGGAGGGGGGGGGGGTTCGATCGCTTTCTGGGACTCTATCGGATATTCTAGAATAGAATATATCAATCTCCTAGTGGGACGGCAGGGTCGGTGATCCTTTTTAACTTTTATACTCGCATAATATGATAAGACTCGAAATGAATGTGCCACGTTGCATTTGGCCGTTCGCCAAAGCCCTCCTCGTAGTGAATTGCTTCAGAAAACCTGCTAGCTAGTTTATATATCTCACAGGACCCTGGGATACGCCCAGGAATCCTGATGAAGAAACTGACCTGGTAGAAAACTTTAGGATGCTTTTTTTAATCTTCTTTCCTAGCTTACATGCGTTCGTAGCATGAGTATCTTCTACTATGCAATGCTATTGGCTTTTTTTTCCCTTCCCCGTTCGCCCTCAGTTTCCTCCAGTTGTCACAAGCTTTGCGACACTCCTCCAACGGGATCAACACTCAATATTGCCACGGCACCCCAGTGATCTAAACCCTCATCTTGGATGAGACTAGCCAGAGTTGAGTAACTAACATGCCTCACAACGGGTGACTCTCAGGTCATACAATCTTCCACCCCTCGGTTTTAACATGGGCTCCCGACTCCTGGCGTCAGGTGTAGTACCGTATAAGTACAGCTCTTCACCACCTCCAATGATGGAGAGCTCAATTCTGAGCGGGGTTGAACGGTGAGGATCCTGCTAATGTGCATGAAGTCGTGACATGATGAATTCATAACCTAACAACTACGCTAGCTAGCCTCTTCATCAAATCTCACTGAGAAGAAACACAAAAACTCCGGGCGTTTTTTTTTGGTTTTTTGATTTCTAGGTTGCCTTTTATGGGAAACGCGGCTTCCTGAAGTTTCCCCGCTATCGAACTGGAATAGGAGGTAAATGCTCTCGGGTCCTGGTAGAAATCTCTGTAATCCGAACATTCTCTTCTCTACCGTAAGCTAATGCTGGACCGGGAGTATCTAGCCCTTAAGTGACTGCACGTTTTCCTTTGGAGGTGGGACGTGGAGCGCCGGCAGACGTTCAACCCAATTATTTGACTGAATACCAGAATACCAAGCAAGCATTTGGTAGCCCGCGATCCACAAGTGATACATGCGGCACTTCAAAACCTGGCCCGGCACACAGTTAAACCTACTTTTAATTCTTGATATTACTATACTATACTCTAAACATAACGATACCTTGACGCTACCTTAGTCCCACCGGTGAAAACAGTGATCAATATCCGTCCAAGATTACGGAAACCTCCGCTATCCACTGGGAGCTTTGGTGATCCCGATAGGCTCCCAAAGTCCCAACTACCGTAGTCATACTTAATCTGTCTCCCCGAGCATTCCGCTTCTGATCCCCATTACAGTTAATTCACCTTGCCCCTCTCACCCCCCCAGAGAGTCAACCCATGGAAGAGTTTTCATCCGTTTCACACCTGCTTTAACTCCAGGCTTCCCCGATACCCATACATGCCCGAGCGGGCAAATGCCCTCAATGAAAAGGTCAGTGTTCTCGCTTTCCAGTTCGTATCGTACCCTCTTCCGCAATATGGTGTCTCGCCAGGCCGGTTCAGCGCTGTTCAAACAGGAGATTCGTAGTTCATGGGTGGTGAGCCAGAGGGGTAAAGCGTGGCCCTAGAACCTCCTCTGCAGGTGGTCTGCAAGATGGCTTAGCGGTTTAAAGGTAGTCTCTACAGTGACCATCTCGATATAACAAGGGGCAAACACTAGCGTTGAAAATTTTTCAAGCCAACTATAATACATCCCGCGCTCTGGAACTCTGACACTGGTGGACAGACAACAGAAGGGACGGCGAACAATATTAGTACTGTACCCTAAAAAAAAGGTGGCTGCAAACGTCTAACTTGGTAGGGCCGTCTGTTCACTGTGCCCCTCCCCTGGATCGCAGTCCCCTCTACCGCACCATGTTAACACCCCAGCATAATTTATTCCTCGTCTGTGGACCTTGTCAGACCGGTGGTGGAATTTCATCTTGACCCAAGAAGCCCCAGCACGCACAGTGTTACAATAAACCCCTCGGAACCGTGGTACCCGCGCACCTCAGTTCACATCTAGACTGTTCGCTCCCGAAGAGTTTTCTTCCGTTTCAAGTTTGTTCTGATCCCCCCCCCCCGATGCCTGTATATATCCGGGAAAAGGCCCCCACAAGTAGTATCGGTGTTCTTGCCTTTCGCTTTATACGGCACCCCTATCTACTATATCCACGTAAAGCATTTTCCGAGTGATATTAAGTGATTGGAGACGCCAGAGAGAGTACTCTGTGCTTTTTAAGTCACACTCAGTTCCGCAAAGTTGTCATTGCAACACCCCCAGCGCCCCGACAACTCCGACTTCAGCCAGCAGGGCCAAGGCGGCGCTTCTGATTTCCGGAAATCCTCATTAACCTACATTACTTACAGCAATGGCCGTTCGGAAAGGACACCAGCAGTCTTACCTTCCACAAAGCAACCTCTGAAATATTAGGGCGAACGACGGCCAGGGGGATACAACACAGCTAACTTTACGAGGGCCTTGCAGGAACGAGCCTATTCTCCCTGACTACAGAAAAGGGCACGACGAAGGGTGAGTTGTGTGCTAACCCAGTTCCACTAACAATCCGTCCAAGCCAAGCACTAGAAAGTCAGACGGCATTGACAGATAGATGACTAGAAATTGCGGGACAAAAGATAGCCACGAATATCTACAACCCTACTGAAAGTCATGTATCACCGCACATCATGTCCGTAAGGAAGGAGGTCTGAACGCGCCGGTGCTCCCTAACATCTCCCGAGGCCAAGATCTGCGCTTGGTCATCGCTTTGGCTGATGCCCTTGGCCGCCTATATCGTTCGTGCCGCAGTCGCATACGTCCGCCAAAACCAAAAGTCCGCCCTCGACCCTCACCTATTCGCTAGCCAGAGGGTTTGGAACTGCACTTCCCTCATGGCAATGGGCGGCATCCCATATGCTAATATGATGTCAAGGTTCGTGAGCTCAGGCTCTTTTTTGATGGTACCCACCTGATACAAGTATCATGCTCCTATGCCAAAACTTAGAATAACCAAGTGTGCAAAAGGTATTCTCATAAGAAAAAAAGAAAAAAAGCCCATACTGATATTGAATAAGGACAACAGATCACACCTCAGGCTTACTACCAGACAAATATTATCAGCTTCAGGTGCTATGCAGAAAAGCTATTTCGGAACACGAGTTGACAATTGATTATTCTACTTAATACCTGTTATAATGTAATAATGTATTGAACTAATCATATTGCTGATATATGATAGGTACTGATAGATACTAACTAGTAGTATCAAGAGCAGTATCGGTAAAGGAGTCTTTAAAAAGTTATTTTATGAAATTAAAGAAGTAACTACTGGCACCCAACTAAATATATTAGAAACACTGTATGTGAAAGTCTACTATTCTTATCACTGGCACAGAAACCAGTAGCCACCAAACACAACAAATTTATGGCATATTTTTAGAAATATAGGTGTTCTTTTGGACAACTACAAAATAAATATGTATGCCAAGAGAACATCTACCCTATCATAGCTCTCATATGAGAAAGGGTTAAAAAAAATTGAAAATACCGTATCTTATATTATAACTACTAAGATCACAATCCTTTATCTTGATCAGTATAGAGATACAAGACTATTTCGACATTAGAGTTTGGATTCCCAATAACTCTTAAATCTCTCAAGATCCAATAATAAGATAATAGAGCAAATATTATTGCATATTTTAATCAAGCCTTCTATTGATTGTTTATTATATCCAAATAGCTTCTTACATATTCATTTTACTATAACATAACAGTTAAAAAAAATCTTTTCTAGCCCTTAACCTATACACTTTGTTCTCAGATACATGGTATCATATCACGTCTTCAAGTAATGGACAGGGTTAGGGTTAAAAGATAAGTTATCTGACTTTCCTCCTGACCCCGACCCTTCCTCTCACAACCGAACCCTACGAGCAACATCTGCGACTGGAGGGGACACCATACACAATACCACAACCCGAAATCCACGACACCGAGCCTCCACAGTTTATTCCCCCCACCCACCCCTCTTACCCCAGCTCACACACATGGCAAGTCCACTATAATGCCGACTCCCTCTCTCAACTTGCAAATACCCTCCTACCTCGACGCCCACCTCCTCGACGCAAGGGTCTACTTGCCCGCAAGTTACACTGCCCCAACGACCCAACACTGGCACCGGAAGCTGGCCGTAATCGGACATCCATACGCACCGCTCGGCGGAAGTTACGACGATCGCGTAGTGCTGGAGGTTGTAGAGACGCTATTGAGAGCGGGCTGGGTAGTTTCTACCTTCAATTTTCGGTATGACTGGAGAAAAAAAGGAAGAGAAAAAAAAGACACTTTGAACGAAGGCGGTTAAGGCAGACAAATAGGCAGGAGGCTAATTGGTGACCACCACAGAGGAGCACACGGAAAAGGACGAACGTCATGGACAGGAAAACTCGAAGTTAAGGACTTTGCCTCGGTCGTGGTGTGGTGTTTGGCATACGTGCAGTCGTTACCACCACCGGTGATTCCGGTATCGGCGGCTCCTCCATCACGACTTACCGTGCCGGCGTCACCGTTGCGCGGGCTTCCGGAAGGGGAGATGGTGGTGGAGGAGGCCGAGGAGGGTGAGGAAGGGATGGAACTACTAATAGGTGGATACTCCTACGGGTCGTTAATTGCCAGTCTAACGCCTCCAATCCCGGACATCCTGAAATTGCTGAAGACACCGCCTCCTTCCACTCCCGTATTCGCTAAATCGCTTCTCACAGCGAGAGAAAGTGGCCGCAGATGGCTGGATACACACTCCAGCGCCCGAACCTCCTACAGTGGAACCTTCAATCGCGCTGCGGTTCACGCCGCTCTCCAGCAGGAGGAGAATATAAAACTGGAATGCGAACAGGCGCACCACGGTATTGACAAGAGGTGGAAAGTCACGGCTCGATATCTGCTCGTGTCTCCCTTGCTCCCACCTATAAGTAGTCTTTTGATGGGTTTCGCCGGGATGAAGGTCTGGAGCCTTGGTGGTGGAAGTGTAGACGAGGGCGAGAAGGGCATTGAGGCTATAGGTGCCAGAGTCCTAGCGGTCTATGGGGACGGGGACACGTTCACGGGTGTTCGGAAGTACAGGAAGTGGAGGGAGAAGATGGAGGGTGAGGGGTGGAGCGGTGTGGAGGTGGGGGGCGCAGGACATTTTTGGCGCGAGGAGGGGGTCATGGAGGTTTTGGTTGGCGAGGTGGAGGAATGGGCGAGGGGGTAGAGGTTCTCTTAGGGTATTGATCGGATGGTGGGGGTGGGGTCTTATGGACCGGAGTTTGTGGACTTTGTGATGTTCTGATGATGGTTCCCACTGGATTTCAACCAGCGCTGTATCGATACTTTAAAGCTAGCCTTCGCGATAGCCTAATGTCTACTACGGTATTCCCATTACGCTAGTACGGTATTCATTATTCAATAGTATGAAACCCCACAACGGGCAACATGTATGTGGCATCCCAAACTCAAATGACTCCCCCTCCAACTACCCGCCTCGCCAAGTTTAGCACGCCGAGCCACACTCCACCTCAACTCCGTACTCGAGTAGACTAACGAGACGTGCCCATCCCCCCGCCTTCCATATAAGGCAACTCTACGCCGTGACTAAGCGACTCTGCCGGAAAAAAAAATGAAGAAAAAAACGATTGACATTTCATGAAGTTTATGGAGGGGATCCTAGTCAGTCCACGGAAGAGCAGGATATTGTCATACCTTGTAAATTATTGGTTCACTGTATTATCAATACCCGAGTAGTGAAGAGAGGAAAAAGAAAAAAGAAAAAAGGAAAAAGGAAAAAGGAAAAAGAGAAAGAGAAAGAAGAAAAAAAGCAATCTTTTCCATTCCTCCGGTGATGATGAGAAGATGCCGTGTCATGGCCAATCACTTGGGATAAAGGCCAGCACCCCATGTACTCGAGTACCGCACTGTACGAGTAACTCGTAGTACAAGTCCTGGAGTAGACTACCGGTATCATACAAGTACAGCTACAAGTGTGATATGCGCAGGAACAACCAGCCAGCGATCGTTGCGCGAAAGCTTTCTTTCTTGGGACTACGGTTTGGCCTGAGCTGGGCTTATTGTGATCGGGTGACAGTATTTGCATGTGAAGATGGAACAAAAAACGGATTCTGGGAGTTGTGACTTACGGTACCGTGTGTACGGCACTCGTGCCGTGGAAGGGTGAAATGAACAAAGGAGAATGAATACCAACAAACGTCAATCTTCCCCTCGTCACGAGTGCCCACTGTGTTGAATACCAGTCGCGTGAAGAAAATTGTGGGACAACACATGTTTTGCACCCAAATACTGAATTTTCGCACATCAATATCAACATAGATTTTGGCATTAGGGTAAAAATAATTTCATACACTCATCTTATTGCTTCTCTACTTTACTTCTCTACCTTTTGGGAACATAGATATCATTTCTACTTCATTAGTTAAGTTGAGTAGGCCTGGAACCTGAAAATATACTAGTTTCTACACCAAATAATCCCTGTCTGGCAGTGCTGCAGGAGGTAATTTGGAATCCAACACTTATGGATGGGGAATCATTTGACGGGAACTTCCCAAAACCTCTGTAGGTAATACCCCATGATATTTGAAGCTAGCTATGCAGTGGTTTGTATTTTAAATATTTTGGAGGAGTTGATGATTATTCCGAATACGCAGTTTTTTGGTGGGGAATGCCGTTGTCCCACAATTTTCTTCACGCCACTGAT